TTTTGGCTCATGTGGAGCCCATGTGTGAACTGCCCCATAGAGTGTTCAAAGACTGACGATTTGGAAGGAGATGGCTGTTTCTTTTCAGGTGCCTCTAGATGGTTTTACCAGCCAGCCTTTGACTTAAGTAGTGCAATTTCAACTATATCCTCCAGAAACTATTGAAGGAAGTTAAATTGTGTTTATGGAGGTTAACGGAGATGGGTATTCTGTACAGGGAGAAGGGCTTTTTCCCATTTGAGGTATGAGCTGCATTATCTTCCAAGAAATACCAACAGAGATGAAAACCTAAAAGTGGCCATGGAGGTGAAGAAGATCAAAGACTACCTTCAATATGGATTGCAATTCAACATCAAGAAAACAAAACCCCTCACGACTGGACCAATAGACAACATCATGATGTTGTGGTTTTATACTGTCCAGTCTGAACCAACCCATAGCTGACTCTTTCAAAGAGGAGCTTACCCATATTTTCCCCTTGGAGCAACTAGTAGATTAGAACTGTGTGCCTTTGGGTTGGCAGTGCAGCTCCTTAACTCTAAGTCACCAAAGCTCCCTAACATCTTAATAGATGGAGAAAAAAAAATTGAATTTGTCAACGTCATTTTACTTGCTCTCACAATCAGCACCCATCACAGGAGCAGTCAAGAAAACATTGGGGAAATCTGCTGTCACAAAGCTTTCAAAAGTTCTAAAGAGCAAGAATGTCAATTTAAAGACATCCTGGACCCAGGACTTGGTATTTTCAATTGCTTCATATACATCTAAATGTTAGGCAATAAAGATGCCCCAAGAAGAGTGAAGGCATTTTAATTGTGGTGTTGGGGAAGAGTACTGAATAGACTATGAACTACCGAAAGAACTTAGGGAGAAGATTGTCAGAAACAGTAAGCTCTGTATGAATGGCATCACTTTGTTGCTACAGCTTGAGCAACCTTGTGGTTGGGACCTGTTCCCACTAGTTTCGAGAGAACACACGTCTCTGGGAGAAGAAAGGAATGAGGAAGGAGACTTTGTTGGTTATTCCCTCTTTCCCAAACCATCTCAGAATTTAAGTTAGCATGAGCTTCTAGTTTTCCTCTTACTTCTCTGACGGCTGTTTCTTGTCTAAGTTCGATGTCCACACCTTCAGAGTTCTACCCAAGCCCTCTTTAGCTACACCCTCTTCTTGGGTGACTTGACCCATCTCCCTGGCTTTAAGGTCCATTTACATGGCATTACTTTCGGATCTCCATCTTTACCTTTTCCCTCAAGCTCCAGACCCATTTACCATCTGCTTCTGGAACACACAAACTTAGTATCTGCATCTAGAATTCATCTCTTCTACTCTGTCTCTTGCCCTATTTTCCATTATTGCAATGATTGTGTGTTCAGGTGCACCAAGTTCTCTTCCCTACCCCTGCCAATGCTTCCCGTTCTGATCCCAATGAACCTCCTAGCCACAGCATCCCACCAGGAACCATCTAAATTAGTTTTCCAGTCTATGAGGAGCATTGAGTGATGTTTCCAAAATGGATTTGATTATTGCTGGCTTCAGATAAATGCCAAATTCTTTAGTGTGTTGTAGAATGAGTTTGATCTTTGCCTTTTCACCTACATTGACTCATATGACCGTGGTTCATAGGCTGAGGTTCAACCATCCCATTTTCTTTTAGTTTTCGGAATACTTATACTGTCTATGACCTCAGAACTTTTACCTCAGGTCTTTCTGATGGGCCCTCTTTCTCTTTTTCCTGAATGTTGCTGTCATCCTCCTTCCCTTATTCTCCTTTGAGTCTCTGTAGACCATCGCTTTCCAAAATTTCTCTGATGCCGAAGACATAACACTTTTTGGATTGTGCATACCTTTCTTCTCTCACTTAACTATAATTAGTTTGAAGGCAGGGATTGAGATAATTTCCTATTCTCCATTGGCATTGAGATCATTTCCTATTCGCCATATAGAAGATACTCAATAAATACTGAGTACTAAGTATTTGAAGAGTTAAAAGAAAGAATTGAACTAGTGTTTATTGAGTATATGCTATGCACCATACTTTATAGTGTTGTTGTTGTCGTTGTTTTGTGCTGTGCAGTCCACTATGAATCAGTGATCTATGAGCAACAAATCCTAACCTTGCCCTGTCCAGTGCCATCATCAGAATCTTTTCTCCATTTATCATGATGCTGTCTATGTTAAAGTGTAACCCATACTGAAGGCTGCAGTCTTTGATCTTCTTCAGTAATTGCTTCAAGTCTTCTTCACTTTTGCAGGCAAAGTTGTGTCATCTGAATAATACATCATTCAATCTGTATGCTCAGCAAATAATTTGAGAAGCTGAACTTTATGAAGAGGAATGTGTCATCAAGATTGGATGAAGACTCATCAACAACCTGCATTACAGAGATGACACAACCTTGCTTGCTAAAAGTGAAAAGGACTTGAAATGCTTGCTGTAGAAGATCAAAGATTATAGCTTACAATATAGCTTTCATTTCAAAATCAAGAAGACAAAAATCCTCACCAACTGGGCCAATAGGCAGCATCATGATAGAGAAAAGATTGAAGCTGTCAATGATTTAATCTTATTTGTCTCAAAAATCAACACCTTTGGTATTAGCAGTCAAAAAACCAAAAGATGTGTGGCACTGGGAAAGTTTGCTGTCAAGGACCTCTCCAAAATTCTTAGGAGCAATAATTTCAATTTAAAGACTAAGGTGTGCCTGATTCAGGCCATGGTTTTTTTCATGCATCTGAGAATTGAGCAATGCTTTGAGTTGTGATTTTGGAGAAGAGTACAGAAAATCCCATAGATTGCCCAAAGAACAAACAGACGTGGCTTTAAAAAAGTGCAGCCAAAGTGCTCCTTGGAGGCATGTATGGTAAAGCTTTGTCTTACATACTTTGGACACATTGCTAAGAGAGGCTATTCCTTGGAAAGGGACATCATGTGTGGAAAAATAGAGGGTCAGTCAAAGAGAGGAAGATCTTCAATGAGATAGACTGACACTGTGACCGCAGCAATGAATTTAAGTGTGTCAGGGGTAAAGGGGACAACATTAGACAAGGTTTGGATCTGTTCTTGATAGGGTTGCTATGAGCCATACTTGACTCAACAGCACCTTACAACAACAACATGTTAGTGAGATAAGATCAATGTGATTTGTCCCTTGAATTACAGCCTCATAAGAGGGAGTCACAAACGGACAAGAGAAAAGTGAGCAGAGAAGAGAGGGACCTCACTACCAACTATAAAAAAGAACAGAGTAAATCCTTTGGACCTGTGATCCCTAATCTGAAAACCTAGATCCAGAGGAAGATGCAAGATACATGGGCATCTCTGAGGAATGTTGGGCTCACAGAAGCTGAAAGGAGGCAAAGACCTGACAGCACTGACAGAAAGAGAAAGCCTTCTTCTGGAGCTAGTGCCCAGATTTTCAGCCTCCTAAACGGTTTCTTGAAACTGTCTGTTTCTTAAAACTATCCCCTTGTGGTATTTCTGTTACAGCAGCATTAGATAATTAAGAGGGAGTTCTGGTGGTCTGTAGGAAGTTGTACTACTAAGCTGAAGGTTGTTTCTTTCTGAAAATTTGAATCCCCCAGCTACTCTGTGGGGCATGGATAATTTCCTCTGATGTGATTTACAGCCTTGGGAAAGTTGATGGAGGGTCAGCTATGAGTTGGTTCTGATTCAAGTCAATGAGTTTGAGATAATTAAGACAGGGGTTCTAGTTAACTTTCATTTACTTCACTTGATAGAAATACCAACACTGTTTTTCTTAATTCTGAGAAAATGCAGTTCACAATGAAAAAAAAAAGAAGTGAATGCAGTTTTCTACAAATCCCAGCGAACTGACATTCTTATGCAGTGAGTAACATGTCAGAGTGCTAACCAAGAAGTTGGCAATTTGAATCCACTAGCTACTCTACAGGATGCACAGTCTCCTCCCGTAAAAATGTACAAAACCAGAAATGTAAAGGAGAGTCGTTAAGAGTAGAAATTGGCTCAATAGCAGTAGATTTAGTGGGCTAATACTCTTCTATTCCTTATCCATTGAACATCTGCATCTTTGGGTTTGCCCAGGCTTACGTGGTAAGGATCAAGGTTACCAGGAAGATGGAGAAAAGACCTTGCTTTCAGATCTCCAGGGCTCTCTCTCAATGTAGTTGCCACCAGCAGTATTTGCACCCCACATTTCACAAGAGAGTCATCCCTTTGCTCCAGCCAGCCTGGATCTGGACATTTTCTTAGGTGTCCCCAAAGTAATGCACATGATACATGAGTTCGTGTAATAGACTTTCTTGAAAGAGTAGGAACAGTAGTGCAGTTTTAAACCACAGCAAAAAGCAATTTTTATTTAGATTTAAGTCAGTCTCATCTTGTACAGCTTTTCTCCCTTTGGAAATCCCTCACTGACCTCATTTTTCCCCAGACTTGTGCCCCTGCTAGGCCGACTGCCACCCTCCTTCACCCTACTGTCTTTCCCTCTCAGAGGCAGAAGTAACCTTGATCAGGTGTGGTTTTCTTGAACAAATTCTTTTTTCTTCCTGTTCTTAGTGTGAATAAGTAAGTAAAGCCAAAGAACATAGATAAATGAAGAAGACAGAGTTCTCACCGTTGTACAGAGACAGGTCTGTACCCCCGGTACCCCCCCCCCACTAGGCTCACCCTGTGGGAGACACACACAACCCTCCTCAAGGCCCCACTGACTCCCCTTCCTGTTGCTCCAGTTTTCCCTCTTGCATCTCAAAAGCTGTTAGAGAAACTAACTCTTCTTATATGTGCAAGGCTGGGAGCCAAACTAAATAACAAGAAAAGAGAGAGACCTGGACAGAATAGAGCTAAGAAGCCATCCTAGGAGCCAGAAGGTTGATTTGGTGGCAAAAAAAACCCCAAAAAAACTCCAGGGATAGGCAGCCACACCAGAGGCACCAGGCTGTTTTCACACTTGATAACCTAAAGATTCTCATTATACAAAGCAAAACACAAAGACAATTTCCAGACCTAAATGTGCCCATCCTAAAGCATGGCTTCTGCCCTGAGCTTCTGTAGCTCATCACTACTGCTGGCATCTGTGGGGCATGGCTGGTACCTGGAACAAGAGACTTCTCTGCAGGAGGAGGAGTGATGGTACCAGAGGCTGCAGAGGCCGTAGATGATGGCCAGCACGCCAGCACCTAAGGCCAAGTGCCAGCAGAAGAAGATGGGAAGGAAGGCCATGTCCTCGGGGTTGTCTGACTGCCAGGGATGTCCAGTAGGAGGTGCATATATCACCACAGCGATCTGCAGCAACCAGTTGCTGAAGATCAGCTGGAGCCATGTCCTGAGCACCCAGAGTGATGGCTGATCAGGCACCCAGATCTCAACGGTGAGCACCAGTGCCATCAGGAAGGCAGGTAGCATAAGCAGAAGGTGCACTCTGATTTCTAGAGTGCTCTTGTTCTCCAAATGGGTTGCCATCAGCAACATCAGTGTGTAGAAGCTCAGGGCCTCAGCTGCCTGCTTCAGTTTTGTCATCTGCCATGAGCGACTCACAATGTCCACCACACCACTGATCATAAAGAATGCGTACATGGTGACATGTTGCCAGCAGTCCTTGAACATGAATGAGCGCTGAGGGTCTTCCCAGTCTATCATCTTCAGCCGATTTACCCCCAGAGGATAGTAGAACTCAGCCAATGTGGGAATTACAGTGCAGACCACCTTCATCAGCCCTTCCAGAGGCACTACCTGCCACCATTTCTGATCTTGCTTCTCTCTTGGAGGCTGAGGGAATCTGAGGAGCTTCTCTCCCCGTAGCAGAGCCAAGGATAGCAGCACCGATCTGTAGAGTGAGTAGGTGAGGAAGAATATCCCTATCATTACATGTCCTGGGAGGGTGCCCATGGCTTCGATGTGTGTGTGCTGGTGCCAGCAAGGTGGGGACCAGCCGGTGAGCAGCAGCCTCCAAGGCTGTCTTCACAATCAAGAACTGTTGGAACTGAACTGAGTGGAAAAGTGTCAGTCTACTCCACACTGGGCATGCCTCCCTCCTTGCCTTGCCCCCTGTTGAATACAATGAGTCACATTCCAGGATGAGGCTTGTCTAAAAATAAGCTGCTTCAGTCAACTCAGCACTGTTTCCTAATTAATCCTACTTAATTGCCCTAAGTGTGAGATTTGAGCCTCTGTACTGCCACTCCCATTGATGAGGTCGCTGCCTGCCTCCCACAGAGAGAGGATGCTAGGAAAATAAGATGTCCCAACACAGAGGGTTGGTAGGCTAACTCTCATATTAAATGTCTCTTAGTGCTAAACACATGAGATGAAGGGGGTTTGGGGTTTTTTCTCATTTCAATTTTCTCAACAACTCTACAATGTTGTTGTTATGTGCCATTGAGTTGCTTTCAACTCATAAAGACCCTATGTACAATAGCTCTGAAGCCTGTCCTGTCCTGAGCAAGTCTCTCTGCCTAGTCACTATGTTAATTCATCTCATCTGGGGTGTTCCTCTCCTACACTGTCCCTCTACCCTTCCAAAGCAAGATATCGTTCTCCAAGGACTGATCCCTCCTGGTTATGTGTCCAAGGTAGGTGAGATGGAGTTTCACAATCCTTACCTCCAACTTGGTTTCACCTTCTCCAAAGACAGACCTATTTGTTTTCTTTGGTTCATGGTATGTTCAAGTCTCCTCCAGCATGACAATTCAAGAGCATCTATTCTTCTTCTGCCATCCTTAATCATTTTCCAGCTCTTTGATGCATAACAAGTAATTGTGAAGACCATGGCCCAGGTCAGGTGCACTTCAGTCCCTAGACTGATATCATTGCTCTTTAGCACTTTAGAGAGATCCCTGACAGCAGACTCCCCCAGTACATTTCGTCTTTTGATTTCCTGACTGCTGGTGCCAATAGTATTGACTGTGGAGCTAAGCAAGCTGAAATTGTTAACAACCTCAATCTCTTCTCCATCCATCATAGTGCTGCCAACTGACCCAGTGGTGAGAATGATATGGTTAAACTAATCTTACAGGTAAAATTGAGGTCCAGAGGGGTGAAGGTACAGGTACTAGATAACGCATCTGGCAGCCACTACAACAAAACCAAGACATGGCTCCAGGTTCATCCATCTGCTTGTAAAATCCGAAGTTTGTGCACAGTGCGAGTGAACGTGGTACCAGTCACAGGGATAGGGGACAGTTCCTTTCTTTCTCTTTTTAAACTTCAGATCCTTGTTCTGTAAGTGAGGAAAAGTATTACTTCTTAGGTCACTAGTGAGGATTAAATAGGTATTGTGGAATGTCTGGCACATAGTAAAGATTCTGCAAATGGCAGGAATAACTAATAAGTTTACGATTATTTATTGCGAAATTTCCTTGCTAAACTCCTAGGGTCCTGAAGTAATCCAAGTGTTTCTATTAACGATACCAAATCAGGAACTCTGAAGATAACGAAAGTAAAAGTAACAACATGCTATGGAATGAACTGTGTCCCCAAAAAACATGTTGTATGTGCTAAGTTAAATATCCAGGGTTATAATCTGATTTTGGGGTGAGCTGTCTCTTTATACTGATGAGGACTATGGTTGGGTGTGCTGTTTTTAAACATGTTAAACGAGCAAGCAAAGAAGTAGAGCTGGGATAAAAGACATGCCAAGACACATGGAGAACTTCAGGGAACCAGAAAGCAGAAGCTGAAGAGACAAGGTGTCAGCGAAAGCAGACCTACCCCGAGAGCCAGTGCCCTGACTTCAGACTTCTGGCGAGATGGTGAAGGAGCTCTGGTGGCTGTGTGGGAAGGAGCTGCGCTGTCAACCCAAGGACGCCCAGCCCTTTGCATGCCTTGTGTTGGCAGCACGCCTCCTGACCACTGAAGGTCTACCAGCTGCTTCCGGAGAAAGGCGCGCAAGCTCCTTCTGTGTGAGTGACTACCTCTGAAAACCTTCGGGAGGGTCAGCCAAGAGTGGGTTCCGACAACAAAACTAAATGGTGAGAAAAACGTTTTTCTGTTTGATAAAGCAATCTGTTTGTGACATTTCTGTTAGAGACAAAGGAGATAACTATATCACTAACTGCAGTTTAAAACACAAAGTTTTTTAAAAAAACCCACAAAGTTTAGAATTTATTAATAAAAAGAAAACTTAAAAACAATATTTACTTACATATTAAAACTAGAGTTGAGAAAAACACATTTCAAAAGACAACAAAGCATAAAATTTTATCCCATGTGTTATAAAGCATTAAGCTCCTTATGACTTGAAGTTGTTGTTGTGAGAAGCCAAATAGACTCCACTTTATGTAGCGCTCACTCCATTTGAGTAATCAAAACCTGTGTATGGAAAATATCTGCCCTGAGCCCTACAGTTTTGTTTTGACTCATTTCCCAAAATAGTAGTTGCTATTTTTTATAAACCCAAGATTTAAACGTCGTTTTTGCGTTGTACCCTTGATAAAGTGAAGATGTAGACATTTTGATCTGTTCCCATCACTGTATCCTTAGAAATATGTCAGCAGCTGGATGCTGTAGCCTAGGCCAACGCAGTCCAGCGTCTCGGGGGTGGGGGGTGGGGGGTGGGGAGTAAGGGTACAAAAGCATCTAGCTGAAGCTAAGGGGAGGGAGAATCCTGCCATGTTGCTGGGACCACCCCCCTCTGCACAGCAAATAAAGGACCTCACTTGTAATCCTGCCCATGTTTCTCTTAATTCGTTGGGTACAACAGTTGTTTTAGGTGCCATCACATCGAGTACGACTCATAGCAAACCTGTGAATCAGATCAGAACCCTCCCCTGCAATGACTAAGGATCAACAGGAGAATTGGTGCCTTTGAATTGTGGTGCTGGAGCAGAGTATTGAACATACCATAGACCACGAAGGGAACAAACAGATCTTGCCTGGAGAAGGTGAAACCAGGTTGCTCCTTGGAAACAAGGATGTTGAAGATCCATGTCACATACCTGGAGCATGTCGTCAGGGGTGGCCAGCTTGATGGAAGAAGACATCATGCCTAGAAGGATGAAGAGTCAGTGCAAGAAAGGAAGGCCATGGATAGGATCGATTGACACAGCAACTGTGGCACCGATGTCAGGTATGTTGGAGATGGTGAGATTGGCTTAGGGTAGGGCAAGTCTCAGAGCTGTTGTTCATAGGGCCACTATGAACTGTAAACCACTTGACAGCATGTAACAACAGTTATCCGGTGCCATCCACATCAGATCTTGCCCATGAAAGCCCATTGTTACCATCTCTGGCAATCTCGTTGAGGGTCTTCCTCTCCTTCGCAGATCTAAAGAGCCCTTGCAAATATGAAAGTTGAAAAAGAAACACCTCAGTAGAAAAATAGGCAAAGGACATAAAGTGGTGATTCACACAGGAAAAATCCTTAAGTGCATAAATCTATATAAAACTCAGAGTATTAAATACCACTGCTAAACAAATGTCAACTACATTCCTAGCATTGGAGCAGACCTGAACCTTGCCCTGTGCTGCAGCGTCCTCACCTTCTCGGCCATGTTCAAGCTCATTATTGGATGATATAGTGTAGCATATTATATAGTCCCTGGGTCAGTCCATCTTATTGAACATCGTCTTCTCTTCTTCTGATCCTTTTCCTTTCCCAGCATGATGACTCTTTCTAAGGACTGGAGGAAGCGAGATGAACGTTTACCCTCTTTGCCTTGAAGGAGCACTCTGGTTGCATGTCTTCAAGACCCATTTGTTTGGATTTTGGCAGTTTGTGGAATATTCAGGACTCATTGCCAACACTTCAGTGCAAAGACATCAATTTTTAGCTTTCTTATTCATTGTCCAACTTTCAGATGCATGGGAAGCAATTGAAAATTGCTTGGTTTAGATACACCTTAGAGCTTAAACTGAAATCTTTTCTCCTTCAAACTTAGGACAGGTCCTTGACAGTAGATTTCACAAACACCATATATCTTTTGATTTCTTAACTGCTGCTACCATGATTATCGATTGCAGAAATGAAATAGTTGACAATTTCAATCTTGTTCCCCCCCACCCATCATGATGTTGCCTATTGGTCCAGTGGTGAGAGTTCTGTTTTCTTGATTTCAAAGTGTAACCCATATTGAAGGCTGCAGTCTTTGATCTTCTGCAATCAATGCTTCAGATTATCTTTGCTTCCTGCAAGCTAGCTTGTATAATCCATAACACAGGTTGTTGATGAGTCTTCCTCCAATCCCAATGCTACATACTTTTTCATATAATCCAGTTTCTTTATTTTCTCAGTATACAGATTGATTATGGAGATATGGAGAAAGAATACTATCTGAACACCTTTCTTGATTTTTAACTGTGCAGTGTTCCTTGTTCTGTTCAGACAACACTTTCTTGGATTCTTGGATTAGGCGTAGGTTCACATGAGCACAATTAAGTGAGTGTTCTGGTATTTTCATTCTTCTCAATGTTAGATATGATTTGTAATGATCCATACAGTCAAATGCCTTTGCATAGTAAGTAAGGCACAAACAAATATCTTTCTGGTATACTCTGCTTTCTGCCAAGACCCATCAGACATCAACAATGATATCCTGTACCATGGCCTCCTCTAAACCAATTTGAATTTCTGGCTGTTCCCTGTCAGTATACTGTTCTGGCTATTCAAAATTGGGAAAGGTGTGTGCCAGGGATGTGTCCTATCTCCATAACTTTTCAACCTGTATGCAGAGCAGATTATCCGAGAGGTTGGACTCTATGAGAAGTATGGCGTCAGGATTGGTGGAAGATCTATTAACAATCTGCATTATGCAGATGACCTCATGCACTTACTGCAGAGGGTCAAGGACTGCAGCCTTCAGTACGGACTGAGGCTCAATTTCAAGAAGACAAAGATTCTCACCACTGGCCCAATTGACAGCATCAGGAAGGATGGCGAAGAGATTGAGATT